CCCAACATTCTGTGATTCTGGGAAGAGGAGAGCTTGGGTGGGTGGGTGTCCTGCTCTGGGGTGGTGGGGATGTCACCAGCACACCGCTGCTGCTCATGGCTGTCTCCATCTGATGTTCTCACCTCCTCCCCCCGGCAGGGCAGACGGGCCGTTACGTGTGCTGCGGGAGAAGGAGCGACAGCCCCTGCCACTGGAATGTCCCTTGGAGTCGCTGGCCAAGTGTGGGCAATATGCCAACGACGTGCAATTCATCCTGCGCCGGACGGGCCCCAGCGTGGCTGAGCGACCCTCCTCGGAGGGTGCTCCCCAGGCCCCTGAGAGGACGTTCATCCGGGCCAGCTTGCCCATAAAGCCCCGGCCCACCGGCATGGATGCCCCTTGTCCCTGCCACTGGAATGTCCCTTGGAGTCGCTGGCCAAGTGTGGGCAATATGCCAACGACGTGCAATTCATCCTGCGCCGGACGGGCCCCAGCGTGGCTGAGCGACCCTCCTCGGAGGGTGCTCCCCAGGCCCCTGAGAGGACGTTCATCCGGGCCAGCTTGCCCATAAAGCCCCGGCCCACCGGCATGGATGCCCCTTGTTCCCGGGAGCCTAAAAAATCCATGACCTTCAACTTGGGTCCTATGGGCTCCAGCGACTCGTTCAGTGTGAGCCGCTGGAGACACCAAGCACGGGAAGGGATGGACTTGGAGGGTGGTGGGGTTGTCCAGCCCTCCAAGGAGGAGCTGTTTCGGAGGGTGCTGCGGCAGCAGGAGCAGCTACATTCCTTGGAGGCCCATGGGGACACCTTGGAGACGGACCTACGGCTGTGGGAGCGCAGCCGGCTCACCGGGCAGGAGGATGAGATCCTCTACCTGGAGCACCTGGTGCGGAGGAACGAGACAGAGCTGGGTGAGGAGGAGTTTTGGCAGAGCGAGCTCCGGCTGGAGAAGGAGTGTGAGCGGGAGCGGCAGGAGCGGGTCAGGAGCTTGCGGGCCAGCCTGGAGGAGTACACCCAGAGGATCTACGAGCTGAGTGCTCGGACTGAAGCCCTGCAGGAGGAGATCCAGTGGGAGATGGCTGAGAGGGCCAAGAGGGGGAAGGAGACCCCTGCACCCAGCTCCACAGAGCTGGAGGACATGGCTGCCAAGATGAAAAGGGACCTGGAAGCCAAGGTCAAGCAAAGCACCCAGCTGGAGAGCAACCTGGCCAGCGTGGAGAAGGCCCTGGAGGAAGCTGAAAGGAACCTGCAGGTAAATAGGACCAGGCTGAGCAGCCCCAAAGGGTGGTGGGACCTTTGGGAAGGGATGGGACCACCTTTCCAGCAGCATGGGGCCAATGGGTTGAGTGGGGTTGGTCCTGCCCTACCTGGCCAGTGAGCTGGGGGGGACTGGATGGACAGAGGTGACTGAGCGACAGTGACCGCTGTTGGGTGGACCTGGCCAGCACAGGGTCCCACATTCTTTGCTCCCCATACAAACTGGGTCTGGGATGGGGCTTCTGCTGCCTGGTGCACGGGGAGCACAGCATCACAGACTGGTTTGGAAAGGACCTTGAAGCTCATCCAGTTCCACCCCCCTGCTATGGACCAGGGTCACCAACCACAGGATCAGGCTGCCCAGGGCCCCATCCAACCTGGCCTTGAATGCCTCCAGGGATGGGGCAGCCACAGCTCCTCTGGGCAACCTGGGCCAGGGTCTCACCACCCTCCGGGTGAAAAATTTCCTCCTCATATCTGACCTGAACCTCCCCTCTCTTAGTTTAAAACCATTTCCCAGCACAGACAATAACGCTGGTGCAGATGGTCCGTGTGTGGGGTTGGTGGCATTGGCACAAGGGTCGATGTCATCTTGGATGAAGGAGCTGTGGAGGTGTAGGTCCCCAGGGTGCCTGTGCAGGAGCCTTTTGACCGGTGCCAGCTGTGCAGGGATGGGGGCTCATTGCAGGGGGCTGCGTGGCGTGGGGATGGCAGCCGTGGGGCTGAGCCGTGACCCCCCGTGTGACACCCGCGCTCTGCCCACCGGCTCCCCTTCGGTGGATGGAAAGGGAGAAGCTTTTGCCCAGCCA